AATCATGTCATCTGGACAAGTTTCTTTACACAATTTAACCTTTTTTGTTTTTATCTACCTGGATGATTGACCTTACAAACCTTTCTACATAAATGACAAACAGAAACATTTATTCAGACTTACCACCTTAAGATTTGCATACTGCTTCTTTAGAAAGACAGAAGGATTAGACCAAAACTATGATATCTTGTTAATAGATTCTTTTAAAAAGATTATTGAAAGGTTCTTTTAAAATGATCTTTTTTTTTACACATTTGAACCATCCTTCGAGGTGTTTCAGAGTACAACAATGGCATCTTTAAGAACGCGTAATGTTAGGTTTCCAAACAAAACTTCTCTTTAGAAGTAAAAGTGGTTTCTTGCACACAACGTATAATGGACAGGATTCAAGATTTGCAGGTATAAAATAAATTTTATTGCTTAAACAAAACAATTTGAACTAATTCACCCCAAACTCTCTGAAAACACAAACACAAGACAGGCTACACATACGCACCAACTCAGAAATGCAAATATTTACCACCGATACACAAATGTAAACATTTATGAGGGTAAAGCAGAAGAGAAAGCAGGAGGTTGATGATGTCAGCGGTTGTGGGTTTACAGGACAACAGAATTAAAGCAAGGGCTCTGAGATTCTTCACATCCCAGAAGAGCTGACAGAGCAGTGAAGGCACCGACAGAGAAAACACACTGCAGGTCACCGCTGTCCAGGAAAAAACAAAAACACATGCTGGATTACAAGTTACATTCCCACTGGTTTGTAACCATCAACAGTGGTGACCAGCAGGTCAGGAAACCCAGAAACCCTTGAAAAGTGAAGAGAAAATCCAACAGAAAGCATAAGACAGAGGTTATCAGCAATGACAATGTCCAGTGGTTCAAATCAGGAACTGAAGAGTTCGTCCAAAACAAGACATCAGAGTAAAAACACAAGAAGCCATAAATATGTCAAAAGACTGAAGGTCAAAGTTCACTTCAGGGCCACTTCAAGAAGAATGGCAAAAAGAAAAAGAAAAAAGTTCTTAAAAATAAATGGTCACCATCTGGTCACCTTCACCTCCAGTCAAAAGCATCAAGGTGAGAAAGTCCTCTTTGTTGTCCAGGTAAAGACAAAGGCTGGTTTCTGTGGAGAAACAAACATTTTAACAGAAGAATGTTTTGATAAAAACAAAACCTATTTAAGACCAAATGTTTTAGGTTTAACAGAGTCTCACTGAGGTAGAAAAGATTTCCCTGTAAATACCTTTAAGAATATTTCAAAGAAAAAAGAACATTGAACTTCCATCTCTACAGTTAGTTATAAGGACCCTGGTCGAGTCTCCAATATGTGATTAGAAGCAGCCTAAATGTAAAGAGACTAAAGTTTTTCTTTGACTTTACTCATGCAACCAAAACATGCGTGTTAGACGAACTTCAGACCCAGTCCCTTACAAAAGAGATAGGTAATCTCTTGGGATTCGTCTGGTTAAATAAAGGTTAAATTAGTGAAACCACTGCTGGTTAATTCACATACAGACAAGTGTTACATGTCCTTTTTATTTACTCAAGTATTTTGACTTGTTTTGGTGTTTATGAGCTCTTCTAATACTTGCACCCATCCATCCATTCATTATCTTTTACCGGCTTCTTCCTTTTCAGGTCACGGGGGTCACTGGTGCCCATGTTCAGCTATCACTGTGCGAGAGGCGGAGTACACCCTGGACAGGTCTCCAGTCCATCACGGGGACACATAGAGACAAACGAGACAAACAACCATTCACTCTCTCACTCACACCTAGAGACAATTTAGAGTTACCAATCAGCCTAACGTGCATGTTTTTGGTCCATGGGAGGAAACTGGAGTACCTGGAGAAAACCCATGCATGCGTGGAGAGAACATGCAAACTCCACCCAGAAAAACCCCGAGTCGGTATTTGAACCAATGACCTTCTCACTGAGAAGCAACAGCTCTACCAACTGAGGCACTGTGCTGCCCCTAGTTGCACTCATTGAGCTTAATGTTATTTCCTTCAGTGTTTCCCCAAGATCAGTTCCCTTGGCGAGGCGCTTGTCAAATTTCTTTTTTTTTTGTTGGGTGGGGTGAAGACAGGACGGAGTGTTGCCCGCCTGCTAGCTTAGCGCTACATTGCTGCCGGTTTTTATTAATGGGGGAGCAGAGCGGTACGTCAGTAGCATTTTTGCTAGCGTGTTTGTATTGCGCACCACGATACATTGATACCAACAGTTGTCGACCGGGGGGTAGAGAAAGAGGACGGAGTTACGACTGTGTTGCCCACTAGCTTAGTGCTACATTGCTGCTAGGTTTTTTTCAATGAGGAAGAGCATAGTGGAGCGGTACGTAAGTAGCATTTTTGCTAGTGCTTTTGTGTTGCGCATGGTGTTACATCAATACCGACAGTTGTCGACGGGGGGGTCAGTAGTGCGCTCTGTTATGTTGATGGGGCCGGGCACCCCGCTTGTGCAATGGTAGGGGAAACGCTGTATGTGTTTCGTGAAAATTCCCAATTACTTAAAAACTGTAAATGTTGATTACATTTTTCACTTAAGGAGGCTGTCATTATTTTACCTGCTCAATGCATTCTGGGATGATGACAACCACTTGTTGCAGTGCCGACTAAAATACAAGGAATCAAGGCAAAAAAAAAAATCTAAAGTATGACATTGAAGTTCTATTTTTGTAATAGTCTGTATGCACAAAATATGGGTTGAAACGATCAATCGTGATCAACTTGTGATGTCTAGTTTATCAGCTCTGGAGCTAACGCAAAAGATAAAAGACTAAAAACCGTAGCAACCAGTCTGTCACCAACCGAGAAACAACATGACGATATCCATTTGACATTAGTTTTTTTTTTTTTAATATTAATAAAAATTAAATAGCCTACGTTAATTAAATAGACTCATCCTTATTGCTGATGTAAATGTCTATTTAATAAGACCTATTGTTCCAACTAGTCAGGGGTTTGATTAAAGGTCATACTGGTATTGGCACAGTGTGGTAAACTGAAAAGAATCACAATTTACAGGTTAATAGTAAATAATAATAATAACAATAATAATAATAATTTGTAAATTAATAAAAAATAACTTGACAATAAATCCAAAAGTATCCCAGAGTAAATAAGTTTTCACATTCCTAGAAGCAGCTTCTAATTACTTTTAATAAACAACAAATACTTAAAATGCGAAGCTGGAAAATAATTGAGGTTAACGGAGAAATATTATTTTTTTATATAAAAAGATAAAAAAGTGATTTTAGTAATTTGAATAAAGGCTCAAATAAAACTTTATTATCTAAATATTAGTGGCATGCATTTATTTCAAAAGCACACAAATTATCATTAGTGTGTAATTATTTAAAATTAAGAAAACTTGTATTTTGTGACAAACATTGTAGAAATTCAAGAAAATTCAGCTTAAGGCATTTTTTTTAAGCAGACCTAAATGTGGAGTGTATTGTTTTAAAATAGGCAGCGACAACTATAAAAATGTTTTTACTTGTGAAAAACTTTAACTCCCTTGTTTGTCTTCATTTTATAGTCAGGAGTTACAAGATTCTTTTACAACTTTCGGTTTTAAACCATAAAGACTTTGTTGTTTCTAATAAAATCTGAGACGTGGGAAACTGCTGATGTTCTGAAACATTTTAGACAGAAAAAATTTCTGTAACTTTGGTCAAATAAACCATCCTCCTCCTGTAACAAGCAGCTGATGGAAGAAAGTTCTGTTGGTCCTTCAGCTCATCTATACAATGGAGTATTAGGGCCACGCTAAGACATTTTTTTAAGCCATGAAATTATGAGAATAAAGTTGTGCGACAATAAATAATAATAATGTCATCACAATGTCAGCACTGTATGTTTCCATACAATGGCGAAATTAGTCTCTGCATTTAACCCATCCACCACCAGGTGGTGCAGTGGGCAGCTATTGAAAGCGCCCGGGGGACATTTTGGGGATTAGACGTGCTGCCCAGAGACGCCACGTGATGTGCAGTGACTGGGGATCGAACCTGGAACTCTCGGGTCCCAAGCCGGCTGCCCTGCCTCTACACCATCTCGGCCCCAATAAAGTCATAATTTTACGATAAAACAGTCGTATGATTACAAGAATAAAGTCATAATACGAGGAGAATAAAGTCGTATGATTATGACAGAGTATTAGGACCACGCTAAGAAAAAAAATTTGATTGCAAAAAAAAGTACTTTATGTGAAAAAAGTCATAAAATTACGAGAATAAAGTTGTGCGACAACAAAGTCATAATTTTACGAGAAAAAAGTTGTATGATTACGAGAATAAAGTCATAATATGAGGAGAATAAAGTCGTATGATTACGACAGAGTATTAGGGCCATGCTAGGAAAAAAAAGTAGATTGCAAAAAAAAGTACATTACGTTAAAAAAAGTGATAAAATTGCGAGAATAAAGCAATCTCGTAATATTACAACTTTATTCTTGTAATATTATGACTTTATTCTTGTACGACTTTATTCTCGAAATATTACAACTTTATTTTCGTACGACTTTATTCTCATAATATTACGACTTTATTCTTGTAATAGTAAGGCTTTATTCTTGTACAACTTTATTCTCGTAATACTATGACTTTATTCTCGTAAATTACGACTTTATTCTCGTACGACTTTATTCTCGTAATATTACGACTTTATTCTTGTAATACTATTACTTTATTCTCGTACAACTTTATTCTCGTTATACTATGACTTTATTCTCGTAATTTTATGACTTTTTCTCGTAATGCTTTTTTTTTCTTAGTGTGGCCCTAATACTCTGTCGTACTAAAGCTCTGCCGTAGTCATGCATCTACATTAAGAACACTCTGCTTTTTGAGTGCCCAGTCTGATTTGGTGCTGAGAATTATGGGTAATGTAGTTTATTTCTTATTGTCTCCTGAAGCTTTGTGGAAGTCAGAACAAGAACTGGACTAATTAAAGGACAGGGTTGTTGTTTGTACCTGGAGGTCAGCAGCTCTGAGGTTATGTGGTGGAGCTCCCTCTCCTCTCCAGGAATCTGTTCCAACAACAAGAGAACACTGGATCAGGTTGGGTTCTGTAATGTTCTGAGGTCCAAACAGGTGAGGCAAGAACTTCTGGCAAAGAGGGTTTCAGTCTTTGTGGATTTCTCTTAGTGATGGTTTCCTTTCACTATTGTGATCTATTTTTCTTTCGTACGTTTTTGACACAATTCTCGTCCCGCAGTTTTCAAGCTATTTCAACAAATTATGAATCAAAACGTTCAGCTCTTTCAGGACAATCCTGCGATGACTTTTGGTATTGGTGCTGCTTTAGATTTTTGAAATAGCCTTTTCTGCCATTTTTTTTTCTCATAAAAAAATTTATTGAGCTCATTTTACATCCTTCTTATCTTTAGATCTGTTTACAAACTTTTACTTCTCCTTTCACATTTTGTTCCAGTTCAGCTTCTTTCTGCTTCCTTGTGCAAATTTAAACTTGTTTTTAGCTACTTTCAGCTGATTTCAGCTGTTTTTTTCAGCTGTTTTGTGCTCCTTTCAGGTTCTTTTTGCTAACTACATTTTTTGTGCTTTTTCTAACTTCTTTCTGCTAATTTCAGCTTATTTCCACAAGTTTCAGCTTTTTATACTATTTCAGCTACTATATAGCTGTTTTATGCTAAGTTAAGCTTTTTCAGCTATTTCCATATTTTTTGTGCTCCTACTTCTTTCAGCCTAACTGGGCAAACGTGTGTTCTTTCTGCTTTCTTCTGCTAATTTAATCTTCTTCTACATTTTCTGCTAATTTTTAGTATGTTCTTAATTTAATTTCAACTAAATTCAAGTATTCTGTGATAATTTCTGCTACTTACTTACTGCCTAATTATCTTCTTCATGCTAATGTCAGCTCATTATACTCCTTTCAGCTTATTTATGCTAGTTTGAGCTATTTCAGCTACTATTTAGCTGTTTTATGCTAATTTTAGCTTTTTCAACTAATTCCACTTTTTTTTAACTCATTTTGACTCTTTCTGCTTTCTTCTGGTAGCTTAAGCTTCTTTCTGGGGGTTTTTCAGCTACTTTTCAGCTATTTTTTTCTTTCTAATTTCTGCCTTTTTTAGCTAATTTCCTTTTTTTTTCTTCTTTATTGCTAATTCCTGCATTTTTTTTAAAACATAATTGAGTAAATATATGTTCTTTCTGCTTATCCAAGTAGGATTGTTCTTCTATTTCAGCATGTTTTTTTAGCTAATTTCAGCTGTTTCTCAGCAAGTTCTTCTGCAATAAGCATTCACACTGCGTTTTCGCAGGAAATGCAATTCCTCAAGTTGCGGTTTGATCTGAACAATCCTTTAAGTTCATAGAATTTTGTCTTTATTAAAAAGTCTAACGACTCGGCGTAACTCATTTTCGCTGAGTGGCAACAGCGCTAACCACTGTACCACAGTGCTGCCCTATAAAAATATGGCTTGATTTATTTAACACTTTTTAATCATCACTTGTATCAAAACACAGGTTTTTATATTTGTTTCACAGAACCGACTGTTAACAGTTTCTTTATAATCTATTGTTTTATTTTTATTGCTAGTTAGATTTTTTTTTACAATAATAGGTTGAATATGTTTTAGATATTTTAATGATTTAAATTATTTGATAGATTTTAATTTGTCACAGTTATTAGGTTATTACAAGTTACATTTATGATCACACGTTCATATTTTTACTTTAATTGTAACCAATTTTTTTATATTGTTTATTAAAGTTACTTGTAATTTACAAAACAACCCTTTTAAATTTATCTTGGAATATTTTTAAATATTATTTTATTTTATTTTTAAATATATGATTTAATGCTATTGCCTTTAACGTGTTTTTATTCATACTGTATTTTTTCAATAATTTTAAATAACTGTATAAAAATATTTTCTGTTTGCATATTTTAGTTTTTTTTGTTTGTTTGTTTAAAAATGTTATTTTTACATTTAATTAATTTTGTTAACTGGGTAAATCTAACATATTTATTTATTTTCTAATACTTTTTTTTTTTAACATTTTGTCAACAGTATTGGAAATATATATTTTTTAAATATTACTAATACATCCTTTCAATTATATGTTATTTTGTGCAACAGAAACACTCTGATTATTGGAGGTTTTCCATTGGAAGCTGTTTCAAGCTCTGATAATTAGTTGTAAGCTGTAAAAAAAAAAAAAGTTTGTAAGCTCAATCATCCAGGTAGATAAATACAAAAACGTTAAATCATGTCATCCAGACAGTTCTAATCTGTGTTTTTTAAATTAATAAAACAAGTTTATTTTTCTTTAAAATCTTTAAACAGGACAAAATATGAAGTCGAATTACTACGGTAACTGTAAAAACGTTTCAGGTGTCACAGCGCAGCAGGTTTCTCGCAGCTCCACTAAAATGAAACACTCACACTTGAGTCTGGCGCATGAAGTCTGCGAAGCGCTGATCTCTGGAACACAACTCGATGATTCTCAGACGCTCCTGGATCTCCTGCAGAAAGGTCAGAGGTCAGCGCACGGAGATAAAGTTTATGTAAGAGCCCAGCAGGAGGCGGCGGTATAAATAAGCGTCGGCGTAGTACAGACGTCCTGCTGAGGCTGAAATCGTCTGAGCCTAAGAGACGTCACAACAACCAGTCAGCTCAGCCCCGAGAGGCAAACGGCTCGATTAAACTGAGAAACCGAAGCCAAAGCTCTGAGGAAGAGGAGGAGAGAGTCTCCTGATGAAGAGGAACTCTCGAGAAAGCTGTGACACAAACAAAACACTCAGACTGACTTTAGGCATTTTATGCAAAGAGCCGAGCGTTTACCAACCAGGAGCGCTGACCGAAACACACAAACTACAACAGATACGTTTTATATATTCAACTTCTGATCGGGTCTCATGACCTTTACGACCTTTAAAATAGAAAGAATATTTCAGTAACTGTGGGATGTTGTGTAAAATGTAAATAAAAACAGAATGCAATGATTTTCAAATCTCATAAACCCCTATTTTGATTACAGTAGTCCCACGCTACTTTGCGATTCGACTTTTGCAGTTTTTCAAAGTAAGATTGAACACGAGTAAAAATAATTGTACATGACACATGATTGTCAACTTTAATATTATTCACATGATTGGGACAGTATGGGATACTGTACGGTAAAAAGTAAACGAAAAAATAAAATACTTTGGACAGGCATCGCCATTTTGTAGTTTTCTCTCAATAAGCCTACACTGTATCACCGCCCATAAGGACTACATTTCCCAGAAGCCCTCTGTGCTCCACCCAGAAGTCTTGTTGCCTTTTGCTGAAATACGTAGACGGAAAGTTTTGATCTGATCCTTAACAGTGACTTTGGAGCCCAGCGAATTCAGAGAGCTTCATGGAACTGGAGCAGAACCGGACCCTCAGGCCCATCGGCGAACCCGAGAACTGCTAGTCAGCCCATCAGGGATGCGCAACCGTAGGTCTGGTGTTCTCTCTGGAGCCCACCGCCACTACCCTGAGCCAGAAAGCCGACCAGAACCAGCAGGGTAGGTCTGCCGAAACGGAAACAAGTCGGAGCGGAACAGAGCCGCTGCTGTTCTGCAGAGCTGGTGAGTAAAATTTAGTAGCTACATATACGTATGTTGTTAAAATTAGTAGCTTTAAGAGTTTAGAACATTGCAAGAGTGTGAGAAGGGTTTATAAAGCCTTAATATATATATATAAATACTAAAATAAATATAACATCGCTACTTGGTGGATTTTCCTTATTGCGCGCGTGGGGGGTGGGGAGGTCTGGAACGTAACCCCCGCAATAAACGAGGTACTCCTGTACAAAAAAGCAGCAAACAGAAAATGTTCAGTCATTTTGTGGGGCAATACGAGGTACAAGTAGTCCCTCGGTACTTAGTGGTTCGTTTTTCGCGGACTCGCTCTATCGCAGGATTTTTCAAAATTAGATTGGACATGACACACCATTGGCTGATTGATGGATGAGCCGCACGATCAGCATGGAATTCTTATTTAAAATCAATTATTTAAAATCATTTAGCACCTGCTGCACCTGTGTGCAGCCCACAGCTACAGGAGAAGCTTCCTCCTGCAGCATGTCATGATCTCCGCTCTGCAGTGGAGAAGTGGGCGTGGCCGAGAGTGCTGGCAGGTGGCAGAGAGCTGAATTCATGACATTCTGTACTCTTTTAGATGTTTAGAGCTTAGAAACATTGTTTAGAATATTGCAAGGGTGTGTAGTTTAAAACTCATATATATATATATATATATATAAAAACTGACAAAATGAGACAGTAATCAAAATATTAGTCCTCAGTGTTTATTCATTAACTCATAGGGAGGTATATTTTATGCATGCACGTTTGTTTCCTACCTCTCTAGTCAGTGTGGTGTTTTGATAGATGTTCTGAATCTCTTCATCACTCAGATCTGTGGAGCCGTACTGGGGGAGGGCGGAGTCACAGCACTGGTAGTATGGTGGCAGGTTGTCGTCATAGCGACGGTAGTACTGGGCAGAGACTGGGTCGTTCTCATACATAGGGTTGAACTTGGTGGCGCGCTTTAGACTGGGAACACTTTCGCCCCGTCTAGAAGAAGAGGTGGTAAAAATGCAAACGTTAAAAGTGTTTTTAAATATTACGATTCCCTCAGAGTAAAAAAAGTAAAGGTTTGTTCACCGTAGTGGGTCCTCTGTGTCCTCGTCATCGTAATGTTCTCTGAGAGTTCGGGCCAGGAAGAAGATGATCCCACCAGCCACCAAGAGGAAACCGGCCACCGAGGCGATGGCGATGCCCACCACCAAAGGCTCAGAGACATACTCCTCGCAGTGCTCCCCACGATACCACCAGTTCTCTCCGACCCGACACCTGCAGACCCACCACAGCTTTTCAGTAAAATACCAAAGATCATCTGTTAAACGTTCTTCTGGTATCCCTTGAGCGTGGGAGTTCTGCTCTGTCAGCTCCTGCACCCACAGTCAGAATATAATTAGCCACACCTTCGACTTGATGAGCATGAGGAGCATAAAAGGCTGCAGAAGACATTCAGCCACTACTGGAGCATTACCTGCCAACGGTAGTCTTATTCTAGCCTTCTACTTGTGTTTGAAACTAAATATTAATGACTTGCATTTTTCTCCGTGCCACCAGTGATTTACCTTTGATGTCCTCTTGTTTTTCTGAATCCTCTTCTGAGGATCTCGAGCTCCTGACTCATCAGCTGCCTCCACACCTTCCTACCACTTGTTTTACACCTGCACCTCCTTCGCCTGGAACGTCGGACCGTGACCTCCATTGTAAAAAAGAGCCGCAATATCATTATCATTTTTTTTTCACTAGCTCTCTAACGAGGAGCACGCTTTCCTCCCCGCTCCCTGTTCTCCTCCTGCTTTTTCTTCTCTGCCTGTGTATCGGAGCAGCTCCTATTTTTACACATCTTTCTGAAATGAAAAGTAATGTTTTGGATCTGACCAACTGGACTTTTGACGTCAATTCCAAAATACTTTCAACAAAGCGACAGGGTCCTGGAGAACCTTCATCTGCTTGGACGACACACATGCAGCTGGATATACTGTATCTCTGGGGGTGATGTGGCTATTTCTGCTGTCGATCGAGGACGCCAAAATTGCATATAATTGGATTTATGATAACAGGTTTCTTGTTTTTGGAATAGTCTGGATCCTGGTTTATCAACATACAAAAAAGACGGTCGCAGCTAATTTGGATCTCGTCAGGCTGCTGTCTATGTGAAGGTTTGGTTCTTGCTTTGAGGACTCAAAATCAGCTGATTTACGAGCGAAACCGTAAGTTGGAAGTGCTTTGAATCGCAGGCCACATGCGGCTTTGGGACTCGTCAGCATGAACACGACCTTGAAGAGGCTCGTAAGCATGGACCAGCGGAATGCACCATAATCTGGCCATTTCAGACCTTGGAAGTTATCAGTACAGACTCTAGGCTGACAGAAAAAAAGTCTGCCTGAATAAATCAACATGAATTGTGGTTATCTGAATTGGACTCACGGTTGGCCTCGAACAGGCCGACTTATCAATTTCTCCTGGGAAATGTGTAAACTAAGGAAAAGCTTTGTCTATCGCAACCCCCCTTTTTTTGTGGAGCTAATCAGAACTGTGTCGGCTGACCATCATCTTATCAGGACAATGGACTATCTGTTAGTGCTTCATGGACTGCCTCGTCGTAAATGCATATGTAACGTATTCATAAATGTGCTGCTGGCAGAGTTTTTGATGTCTTACATCATATTCTGATAGGACAAGGTGTGAAAAGATATTTTTTTGTAATGCCACTACCCCTCTCCTCATGGCTTTGTCCCTTTTTCCATCTAAAAAAATGTATTCTGAAAAGAATAAGAAGGCCGCGCTTATAGCAGCAGCTTTGTACACTCCGTCCATCTTTCGGACGGCTGTACGTACATGTTCTTGTTGTATCTCGGTGCAATGATAATAAAGCTTATTCTGATTCTGATTATCACCCTTGGCGACAAAGACTCTAACCATCTCTTTGCTCCTCAGGGTTCCAGTCCCCTCCATGGCTTATTGCATTATTCTCACTTTGTAAATAGACACTGTAAATTGATTCTGAGTCTTGGTATCTGTTCTCATTGGGCCTTATTATTGGGTATAGCCGCAATCGTCATATCAAGACCCTGAAAAATCACTTCATCAGCTCATATTCACTTGTATGCCGATGATACAATCATTTCTGTAGTTTTTACGTTTTAAAAACTAATTAAAATGATTCAATATTTGAAAAAAAAAAAGCACTTGACTTCTATTCTGCAACTGAAGACTTTCCTCTTCGCATCAGGGTAGCTTTCTCACATTTCTGTTTAAATATTTTTTCTCACATTTAACATGCGTCTGTAAAAGTAATATATACAGTATTGTATGTGCATCCTTTAGCTACTGTTTTGCAGATTTTAAGTTTGACAATTTTGTTTCAGCTTCAACAAATTCCATGTGTTTTGAAGCCTTTTTACAGATGGCCTCCTACCTGCAGATGGCGCCCTTGTCAGGAATGATGTCACATTTGCCATCGTTAAGGCAGAAGTCGTGTTGGACCTCACAGATGCTCTGACACGGCAGGCCGTCAACGCTCAGATATCCGGGGTCACAGACACACTCGGCTTCGCCCGACCACTGATTCACCATACACTTTGAAAACTCGTTACAGGCCTGGAACTTACAGGGATCAGCACGGTCACCTGTGATGCAAACAACAAATAAATATGGCATCAATGAATTTGCAAAATGTGGAAAGAAAGTTAGTAAAGAAGAAAATTACTGTACAACAAGCTTTGTTTTAAACGTATGACATCATTTTGACCAAAGACCATTGAAAAGAGAGAAAACAATGAAACAGCTTCGAAACGATTAGCTATTCTCTGAAATCTTTGCATTTTCTTGAATTTTAAAATATAAATATTTCAACAAACAAAAAACTGAAAATCTCAGGATAACCTTCGCATACCTTACACAATTCAGGGGGAAAAAAAACCATTTTGACAAAGTTATGGAAATCAAAGAACAACATTTGGACTAGTGAACTGAAATATAGAATCAGTATACCAAGACATCTTGATTAGTTGTTTCAAATCTCACATCAGGGAACAAATATACCCCAATTATTTTAATAACATCTTTTACTGTAGATACGCTAGATTTCAAACTGGGCTGTGACTACCGGCAAATAGTTTGGAGTAAAAATTGTGAGAAAATACACACATTTTTACTTTCACTAATTTGGTAGCGTGGCATTTTGGCTCAGTTGGTAGAGCTGTGGCCTCTTAGTGAGAAGGTTGCCAGATCAAATCCTGGCCAGGGACTTGCGACCTGTGTCCCCCGCCTCTCGCACAGTGATGGCTGAACATGGGCACCAGTGACCCCCGCAACACGAAAAGGAAAAAGCGAGTAAAGACGATGGATGGATGGATGGATGGATGGATGGATGGATGGATGGATGGA